GCAAATTTGTCAGAGGAACCCCGCAGTGACATCCTAATTTTCTCAAGTTTAAGAAAATAAACAATATCCCTCAACCAATGTATAACAGAAGGAGGTTGTGGTGATTTCCATTTAAGAAGAATTATCCTCCTTGCAATAATGATCATAAAGGATAAAGAATTTTCTTGGMAAGAGGACAAAGGAGACGGCCCCGAAAAACCTCCAGTTTTAATTGTGTTCTTTTAGTTAGACTTAGACATGTCTACATGTCMGCTACACTCACCCTTCAAATATATTACTTTGGTAAATCAAAATTAGTCAAATTTATGAGTTGGTTTATTATATTTAGCAGATTAAGTATAAGGCTCATAATTACCTTTAAACATCCAGTTATATTTTGTTAAGAGAGAAAGTTCTTAAAGGATTTGAGATGTTTATAAAACCTAAAATTCGAACAAACTTGAAGGACCAATGATGTTCAAGGAGTAAGACTGTGGAATAATCTGGAAAGTGATTATAAAAATGTTGGTTCGAAGTATTTCTTTAAATGAATGATAAAGATAAGTTTGTTAAAGAAGTATTAAATTGTAAAAGTTGCGTGAGAAGGAATTGAAGCTTTTATTTTGTTTTGTTTCTTGATTATTATTGCTTGAAATTAATTAAGATATAAGATTTTTCTTCTTTCTGCCTCCTTTCATTTCATTTTGGATTAGTATATTTCTTGTTGTGWATAAAAACATTTTCTAAAGACCATAATGTCATAATAAAATGTTAATGTTGAAAAATGTGTTTCAGTTGCAGTACACAGTAGATCTGTCACATCTGATACGTCCTGCTGGAGTGTGGCGTGATTRGTGTCATGTGACGGTGAGATWMGGTCACGTACAAACTAACAGTGTCAGAATGGTGTATATACTTCTTATCCAACCTCAGTTAAATTCAGAGGCACAGTTTATCTGAAGAGTTTTTKGATAACAAGCCAAAATGAAATAAAATAACGACTTTCTACTTCTTACCTTTTTTAAAAAATATGAGGAGTAGAAAGTACAGATAAATGTGTGAAAATTTAAGGAGTAGAAGTAAAAATTAGGCTGAAAAATAATTAAGTAAAGTACAGATAACCAAATTTTCTACTGAGGTACAGTAACAAAGTATTTGTACTTAATTACTTTACAACTCTGCTTTYGTCAAATGTGTGTCTGACAGCTGAAGCTTGGACCAAACTGGGTCCAGCAGGACAGTGATCACAAACACACCAGCTCATATAACAGAACAGGTCAGAAAGACAAAAAAATAAAAAAAAATCAATGCGTTGCAGTGGTCTGTTCAAGTCCAGGTCTCAGTGGGTCTGAGAGGACTTGGAGAGCTGAGGTTTAATGAATGTTCTCCATGATGGACCGAAGCTGTCCCTACGTCCTCCTCAGTGCTGTAAGAGACTCAGAAGATATTCATGAAGTTATTGTTGCCTAAGGCTCTTCACAGTAAATTATGGAAGGTTCTGGCTGTTCAACAGTTCTGGGTCTTCTTCGTTGGATTGGAGCAGATGTTCTAAAACCTGTAGATACTTTTCTAKRTTAATGGAGTCTTTCCAGATGTGTAAGCTGTCCTAAGGCTGTAAATGCACCCCCATACCATCAGAGAGGCGTGCTTTTGAACTGTGAGCTGATAACAGGCTCTTAGTATGGAGGATGTGGTGATTTCGGTTTCAGGAGTTTCAAATTTTGACCCCAGGACAGTCCTCCTCTTTGCCTCGGTTCATTTTAAACCATCAATGACGACAGCACAGGTTCTGGATGGTGCACATGTCTTCTTCTTTGTGTGATAGAGCTTCAAGCAGTTTCACAAACAGTGACGTGTGGAAGTGTTCCTGAGTCCATGCAGTGATGTTCAGAATGGAGCCAGACCTGTTTTTAATGCAATGGCCCCTGAGGGCCCAAAGATCACAACCTTCCAATTAGGAACTTAGTTCCTAATTGGA